TAAGTACATACCTGGCTAATTAACAAATTATACCACTCACAGGACAATAAGCCACTCTATTAAAAGCCTTTGAATTTTTGAACAATTGATTTTCTTATTAAAGTCTCTTCTGGAATTAGGATTGCTCTGCCAGTCTTGGGAAATAGCCTTTGGATGCTATGTGATCTCAACATCACTATATTAGACATCAACTTAGAGGGGACAAATAGGTGGCACTTAACCATTATGTTGTGCATTTGAACTTCTTTGCAAAAACTTTCTATGCATACAAAGATATACACTTTTATTACATCATATATATATATATATATATATATATTTTTTTTTTGAGACGGAGTCTCACATTGTCACCCAGGCTGGAGTGTAATGGCGTGATCTCTGCTCACTGCAACCTCAACCTCCCGGGTTCAAGCGATTCTCCTGCCTCAGCCTCCTCAGCAGCTGGGATTACAGGTGCCCGCCACCACGCCCAGCTAATTTTTTGTATTTTTAGTAGAGACAGGGTTTCACTATGATGACCAGGCTGGCCTTGAACTCTTGACCTTGTGATCTGCCCACCTTGGCCTCCTAAAGTGCTGGGATTACAAGCATGCGTTACCATATCCAGCCATATATATGCTCTTTTACAACCTGCAGTATGCTGTAACATCTTCCCACGTTAATAAAGGTTGGGCCGGATGCAGTGGCTCATGCCTGTAATTCCAGCACTTTAGGAGGCCGAGGCGGGCAGATCAGCTGAGGTCAGGAGTTCGAGACCAGTCTGGTCAACATGGTGAAACCCCATCTCTACTAAAAGTACAAAAAAATTAGCTGGTTGTAGTGGCACATGCCTGTAATCTCAGCTATTCAGGAGGCTGAGGCAGAAGAATTGCTTGAATCTGGGAGGTGGAGGTTGCAGTGAGCTGAGATCGCTCCACTGCACTCCCGTCTGGGCAACAGAGTGAGACACTGTCTCCAAAAAAATGAAAAACTAAAAAAAGTCAAACTTTCAGTTTCTGCATAGTATTCTATTGGATTTCTGTACATCAAGGCCTTTAAAAATATTATTGAAAATGGATATATAATTTACATACAGTAAAATGCACAAATGTTAAATGTTACAACTCAATGTTTTTTGCCTTGCCTATGTACACATCAAAATAACCACCCCCCAGAACAAGATACAGAACATTTTCAACACCCAAAAAAGTTCCAACATGCTCCATCCCAGACAAAACCCCACAGAACCACATAGGTTACTACTATTCTGACTTCTAGCACCATATATTAGGTTTTACTATTCTTGAAATTCATATAAATGGATCCAGATAATATGTATTCATTTGTGCCTGCTTTTTTTTTTTTGCATGATGTTGTTAATAATCATCTTTATTGTTATATCAGTTCAAACTGTTTCAGTGCTGTGTAGTAATTTCATTGTATAAATCTACCATTATTTATAAATTCTCTTACTGATGAAAATTGGGGTTGTTTCCAGTTTTTGGCTATGAAGGATAAAGTTTTTATGAACATTCTTTTACAAGTCTTTTAAAGCAAACATATGAGCACTTTTCTCTTGAGTATATGGCTATAGATAGAGTAGCTGGGTCTTAAGGTAGAGATATACTTATCTTTATTAGAAACTCCCAAACTGTTTTCCTTTTTTTCCTAAAAGGTGTTTTTAGTCCTTATAATATTAACCTTTCTGGTAGGTATGTACTGGCATTTACTGTGGCTTAAACTTGCCTTTCCTGAATAAGTAATGCTGTTGAATTCCTTTTCATATTCTTTTGGCCATTTGAATTATTTTGTGTGTGAAGTATCTGTTCAAGTCTTTTGCCCATTTTTAGTCAGTTTTTTGGGATTTTTTTCTTATAGTTTACAGGAGTAATACACACTTTGTCAGATATGTGTCAATGGTGTCTTTTCTGAGAAGTTTTAAGTTTTGATAAAGTCCATTTATCAACGTTTCCTTTTATGGCTAGTGTTTTCTGGGTTACAAGAAACCTACGCCTACCCCAAAGTCCTGAAAACATTCTCTCTTATTCTCTTCTAAATGCATTAAGGTTTTAGCTTTGACATTTTGGCCTAAGATCCATCTCAAATTATTTCTATATGGCATAAGGTAGGGACCAAGGTTATTTTTTCCCATATGGATAGCTATTAAAATTTTACTTTTCAACAGAATACATTTTATAATTCTCTTATGTGTTTTTGTTCCTGACAACAGTTTAAAATATACCTTTAAATATTAATCTAAGTGAGGCTGGATCCCCGCCCTTTGGTAGGCCAAGGCGGACAGATCCCATGAGGCCAGGAGTTCCAGACCAGCCTGGCCAACATGGCAAAACCCTGTCTACTAAAAATTCAAAAATTAGCCAGGCATGATGGCACAGTCCTGTAATCCCAGCTACTTGGGAGGCTGAGGGATGAAAATCACTTGAACCCAGGAGGTGGAGGTTGCAGTGAGCCGAGATTGTGCCACTGCACTCCAGTCTGGGTGACAGAGCCAGACTCAGTCTCAAAAAAAAAAAAAAAAAATTAATCTAAGTGATATCAGGCTTATAGATTTCTCAATATATAATTTTATACCATAATACTAATATTTTAAAAAATATTATCAAAGGTAGGACAATTACGTAGTAAAAATAATATTCTGGACAAGTGAGTTTTACTTCGAACTTCAACAAAAGGCAGTTTATTTATGAATTCACTTGTCTTTAGTAATGCATGGTCTTTGTAGAAAATTCATAAATTACTTTTTTACTATAATTTTAAAAATTATTTTCTATAGCATTTGTTGAAATTTTATAATGAAATTGCACCTTTTGTCTTTGGCAAACAGCCATGGATAGTAAAGTTTTAGGTTATGTATAGATTTGACAAGAAGGATTCCATTTGACTAGAGCTGAATTTTCAAGTGGAAATACTACAATTGCCTTTAAGTATTTGTAGGTCTACAGTGTTTCATGTTGTATCTCTTAGTGCTATCTATCTATAATGGACATGATCACAGGATAAGTCTAAAAGAAGAGTAACTTTGCTGAGCATTCACTATGTCATTGAGCTAGATGTCTCTATTACATGAATCTCACATAATCCTCACAACAACCCTTCCCCCACCTCTGTTTTATAGACAAGTGAGCCTGGAGTCAATGGCATTAAAGATTTCCCAAAGTCTATGGCTAGTACGGGATAGAGGTGGGGCTGTCAAGAAAACCTGTCTGATTTCAAAACCCAAGCTCTTTTCTCTATATAGAACTACCTTATTCTCTAGGAGAAAAACGGTTGACTAACAAAAGGCAAATTACATATTTTACGACATTCACTAGTAAATTACTTGTTAATAAATCAACGCAGCAACATATTTTTCTGGATGTTTTTCTCAGGACTATGCCAGACACTGTAAAAGATACTTAAGCATGAACCTTTGCCATAAAGGAATCTACAGTCTAGCTGAGGAGACATAGTTAACATGCACGCGTCAATTAGTGAACATAACTAAATAGTTAAGATTAACGGTTAAAGTAGGATTTAGAAACCATTGATGTTGAATAAATTTTTTAAATGAGTAACTGTGTTGGAGCACAGCAAATTGACTTTTAGGTGGGACTGCATTATGAAGGGTCTTGAAAGACGAAAACTGAGTAAAACTGAGTTTAAGCCCTTGAAGGTTTTTGATTTGGCATAAAGAAAGAGGTATTTAAGAAAGTTTTGGCTGGGCGTGGTGGCTCACACCGGCAATCCAGCACTTTGGGAGGCCGAGGTGGGTGGATCACCTGAAGTCAGGAGTTTGAGACCAGCCTGGCCAACATGGTGAAACCCCATCTCTACTAAAAATACAAAAATTAGCTGGATGTGGTGGCGCACAACTGTCTGTAGTCCCAGCTACTCAGGGGGCTGAACCCAGGAGACAGAGGTTGCAGTGAGCCAAGATCGCACCACTGCACTCCGGCCTGGGCAACAGAGCAAGACTCTGTCTCAAAAAAAAAAAAAAAAACACCCAATAATAATAATAAAATAAAACAAAAAAAGAAAAAGAAAATAAAGTTTTGTTTAGCAGAAAAAATCAGGTTATCTCTGAGTAGAGTGTGAGCAATGAGCCATGAAAAAAGTATTTCATAAAATTCTACTAGTAGAACAAGGACCTGAATGAAGGTGGTGGCAGTAAACTTGGAAAACAAATGATATATTACAAAGACTAAAACTGCTCTCCAATAGTATATTGTTCACTATAAATCAGATACTATAGAAATAAGAAATACAAAAAAATATTTAGCCACTAGCATGCTTCCCAATGACATGGAAATTCTAGATCTAATAGTTTCAGGAAATGGATTAATCTTGATATAAGACAGCTGCTCACCCCTGTGAAAATTAAACACACTTTAAAAGCTCTCTTCCTTTTTTATTATCTCTGAAAAAAAACAGTTTTCTAGGAAAAAAGGAAAAGAGAGTACCATATTTTTCATAATCTCTGTAATGCAAGTGCCAAGCACATGTGGTTTATACCTGTTTTATAACATGTGGATTCTGCCAATCATCTTTAGTTTATCAAAACTATTTTTTATAAAGGGGTGTAGAGTATCATTTTCCTGAATTATTATTAGACTAGGCCACGTGTGGAAATAACTCTCTTCTTTCCAAATCTTTTATGTAAGTGCACTATTATAAGGACATATGCCCACAGAGTAAGCACACAGTAAATGTTTCTTGATTAGATGACTTGGAACGTAAACCAATAACCATAATTTATATGGTAATTAATTCAGACCAATGGAGAGGATTATGAAACCAAAACACAGGAAATAATTGAGGAGAATCTTCTTCTTAGAGATTAACTTTGATTCCAATAGCTTGTTTAAATTCATGGTTTTGTGGTTCCAAGATGTCATAGAAAACTTGTTTTTTGTCAAAATGGTCTCTAATGTAAAGTAAATCTTCAATGGAATAGTTATCATTTTTTCCAGTCCAAATAGTCAGGCTGTACCTGCATTGAAATAAAACAGAATTATATAGTTAAAAGTGGAAGAAAGTGATGACTCATTCCAATAAGCCTAAAAATACTTTATCTCTAACTCAAATTCACTCAGACGAAAAAATTAATCAGCAACGGTGTAACTGTACTTTCATATTCCATTCTTTCATCAAGAGGGACTAGAGACAAAAAACATTCATACTGCTGTTGTCTAAATGACATAACTGCGCTATCTGAATTGCAAGTTGTTAAATGGACTAAGAAACCAGACGGGTGGCATGGGAAATGGGTCTAATTTTGGAAAAAGGAATAGAAGAGATTGTGTTGCTGATGGAGGAATCTGTAACCTGGGTTTGTTCAGGAGCCTCGTCAGAGTGAAAAGCACAATGGGAAGGGATTGTGAAGAGACACAAATGTCACTGATATCTACAACACTTAGAGTCATGTATGGAGGCCCTGCTGTTTCTTTTGGAGGTTTTTGTATGAGATACAAGAATGCCAAGAGATACCACTAAGAATGACAAATAGAATACATTTAGATCTTTATCTGATGAGCTGAAAACCAACAACCTATGTAAATTCATTATGGATGTAAGAATATGCTCAGAATGTTAATGTTACTTAAACTGTATACTTTCATTTCTTCTGGTGACACTACTACTGTTGCATTCAAGTCTAGGGAAATGCAAAGCTGTTAAGCAGTTTCACATTTATATTCCCTGTAAGCTTGTCAGAATCCAGGCAAAAATTTCCAAAGCATTTTTTCTGCTAATGATAAGGAAGAACTGCCTAACCAAGGCATATTTTCTTGTCATATTGACATATTCCTGCCCTTATAGGATGGTGACACCATTCTGGAAATACAACTGGGGAAAGCAATTTGGATATTGCCCCACAGCAGTATCATATTACAAACCAAAAAGAATTTTAAACTATAGCTCAGGGACACAGAAAATGAAAAATGAAAATTAGTTCTGAAACCTACATTTTTTGCTAAAATGGAATCTTTATTACTTTATCTGGGCACCACGGTGACAAATCTTATGAAAAGACATGGTTATGATCATTTAGGTAAAAAGAAGAGCTTCCCAGTATTATTTTGCCTCTTTTAATATTCACTTAATTCTATTTAGACTGAAATGGAAAAAACATTGCCTGAGGGTATCTTAAATTGTATTCATTGATATTAATTCTCAAACTTCATTTTTAACCTTCTTTATTGTGAAATAACACACATAGAAAAAAGTACATAAAACATAAATATAAATTTTATCAGATTATTATAAAGTGAACTCCAGTGCAATAAAACAAATAGAACATGACCAGCAGTTGAGGAAGCACCTTGGTGTTACTGCTCTATCACAATCTCCTCTCCTTTCAAATCTCCATGATCTTTAACATTGTTAAGTATATGACAGAGAAGGAAACAGGAACTATTACAGAGTGAAGTAGGCTGAGGAGATGTGATAACTAAATTCAATGCATGTTCTTGGAGGGTTTTCCGGATCAGAAGAGGAAAAGAGGTATTGTTGCAATGGTTGGCAGAATCTGAATGGGGTCTGTGGACTGGATGGTACTGTTGTACCAATGCTGACTTCCTGACTGGGAGGCTGCATGATGGTAACACAGAAGCTGTCCTTCGGGGCAGTATCCTCTGGAGTACTTACGGATAACGAGGCTCATGCAGAAAAACATAAACAGAAAATTATATATGTATAGAGAAATAATGGACAAATGCAGGAAAATGTTCACAATTGGGGAATCTGGGTGAAGGAAATGTGGTAGTTTTTGCAACTTTTCTGTAAATTTAAAACTTTTGAAAAATAATCATAAATCACTCCTAGAAAAGACAGTAAAAAAAAAAAAGAAAAAAATAAAAGGCAGGGCGCCGTGTCTCATGCCTGTAATCCCAGCACTTTGGGAGGCCGAGGCGGGCCAATTGCCTGAGCTCAGGGGCTTGAGACCACCCTGGGTAACACGGTGAAACCACGTCTCTACTAAAACACAAAAAATTAGCTGGGCGTGGTGGCGCGTGCCTGTAGTCCCATTAACTCGGGAGGCTGAGGCACGGGAATCGCTTGAGACTTGGAGGTGGAGGTTCCAGTGAGCCGAGATAGTGCCACTGCACTCCAGCTTGGGCTACAGAGTTAGACTCCGTCTCAAAAAAAGAAAACAAACAAACAAACAAACAAAAAAACAGTAAAAAAACAAAACTCCATTAAGTTACTTTTCAAATAAAGGATAAAGCAAAGTTATTCAAAGCAAACAAAAAGAAAGACAATGTGAATTGAGGTTAAAAAAAATCATTAAATAAGACCAAGAACACCATGGTAAAGGTATAATTCTTAATGAAGAGAAAATAGATATGAATGTGTACACAACATATAGCATATCATAAACATTTAAAAAGCAAAAACTATGAAGGTAGATGAGGAAATAGACAAAAATACTTTAAGAGTTGGAGATGACATATATTTGTACATATGAAAACATTTATAATAAGGTTATTCATGAAAACAATGTAATATAAAACATTAGAAATAGGCCAAATGCCCATCAAAATGAGGCTTGTTAAGTCAATTATAGTACATACATACATATCATGCATCTAGGAAAGAAAATCAAGAAAGTTTACTTCAGAAAGAGCTCCACGATGTATTGTTAAGTTAAAAAAAAAAAAAGAGGAAGGAAAAGAAAAAAAAAAGCAAAGAAAAGAACAGAATCAAGAAGCAAGGTGTATGACATACTATCTTTTGTTTTAAAAATGAGGGGGGCCAGGCGGGGTGGCCCACGCCTGTAATCCCAGCAGTTTGGGAGGCTGAGGTAGCGGACCACTTGAGGTCAGGCATTCAAGACCAGCCTGGCCAATGTGGCGAAACCCTGTCTCCACTAAAGATAAAAAAAAAATTAGCTGGGTATGGTGGCAGGTGCCTGCAAACCCAGCTCCTAGGGAGGCTGAGACATGAGAATCACTTGAACCCAGGAAGCAGAGGTTGCAGTGAGCCAAGATCCTGCCACTGCACTCCAGTCTGGGCAACAGAGCAAGACTCCATCTCAAATAAATAAGTAAATAAATAAAATAGGCTGGGTGTGGTGGCTCACGCCTGTAATCCCAGGACTTTGGGAGGCAGAGGTGGGTGGATCATGAAGTCAAGAGATCAAGACCATCCTGGCCAACATGGTGAAACCCTGTCTCCACTAAAAATACAAAAAATTAGCTGGATGTGGTGGTGCCCACCTGTAGTCCCAGCTACTCGAGAGGCTGAGGCAGGAGAATCACTTGAATCTGGGAGATGGAGGTTGCAATGACCCAAGATTGCACCACTGAACTCCAGTCTGGTGACAGAGCGAGATTCCGTCTCAAAAACAAAACAAACAAAACAAAACAAAAAAAATGGCCAGGCACGGTGGCTCAAGCCTGTAATCCCAGCACTTTGGGAGGCCGAGACGGGCGGATCATGAGGTCAGGAGATCGAGACCATCCTGGCTAACGTGGTGAAACCCCGTCTCTACTAAAAAAATACAAAAAACTAGCCGGGCGAGGTGGCGGGCGCCTGTAGTCCCAGCTAGAGATCTGGCCACTGCACTCCAGCCTGGGCAACAGAGCGAGACTCCATCTCAAAAAAAAAAAAAAAAATTAATAATAAAGATAAAAGTAAAAAGGAGGGGAAATTAAGAAGTTATATTTACACTTACTCTTATATGTATAAAGAAATTATTGTAGTTAATGACATTGGGCAGGAAGACTGGGTAGTGAGAGAAAGGCTTTTCACAGTGTAAGTCTTTATTCCATTAAGCTTTTGAATTAATTTTTTTGTTTGAAAAATTAAATTTAAAATACTTTTAAAAGAAAAAAGTAACACACAAAACACTTAAATAAAATAACATTAATAATGTTTTATTAATGTATGACAGAAGCTGGTACTTTTACTCCAATAACCATTCTCCTTTTTCTTTCTAACAAACTCCTGAATTCTAACCAGACACAAGGTTGTACAAAATAAAATCTACATTTCCCAGCTTTACCTGTTACTAAGTACAGGTACATAACTGAGTTATAGCCAATGTGTTATTACAGGAAGACATGTAACATGAGTAAAACTGCAGAATAGGAGCTTTTATCCCTCGTCTACCCCACTGAAACACTGATTTTTTCTTTTCTTTTCTTTTTTTTTTTTTGAGACAGAGTCTCGCTTTGTCACCCAGGATGGAGTGCAGTGGCACAATCTCGGCTCACTGCAAGCTCCATCTCCCGGGTTCACGCCATTCTCCTGCCTCAGCCTCCCAAGTAGCTGGGACTACAGGCGCCCACCGCCACCGCCCAGCTAATTTTTTTTTGTATTCTTTTTAGTAGAGACGGGGTTTCACCATGTTAGCCAGGATGGTCTCGATCTCCTGACCTTGTGATCCACCCGCCTCAGCCTCCCAAAGTGCTGGGATTACACGCATGAGCCACTGTGCCTGGCCGAAACACTGATTTTGACAACAACTCATGGTTAAAGGTACCTTTGTAGGAACCCAGGAGTCCAGTGGAAAGACTCCGCTACTACATTGGAGTGTACACACACACAAAATCTGGAATAGACACATTGAGGAAGGTAAAACTTTTCACTTTACCCACATTACCCCTCCTCTAAGGCAGGACAGTTCAGTGCCAACAAAGATCTCCTTGGCCTGTGTGTTCTCCTACGAGGAAACGTAAGAGTGAAGTAAGCACCTAGCTTCACTACCCATGTGGGATGCTGCTCTTCCTCTCACCCCACCCAGAACGCTGAAGGGATCAGCAAGGTTGATTAGTCCAGGAGCAACAGGAATTGGAAAATGGGCAGAGGCTCACTTACTTTTAATTTTAGTGGGTAGATAGTAGGTATATGTATTTATGGGGTACATGAGATTTTTGATACAGGCATGTACTACGTAATGATCACTTGAAAAATGGGGTTCCCATCCCCTCAGATATTTATCCTTTGTGTTACAAACAGTTCAATTATACTCTTTTAGTTATGTTTAAATGTACAATTAAATGAACTATAGTCACCCTGTTGTGCTATCACATATTAGGCCTTATTCATTCAAACTATTTTTTCATGCTCATTAGCCATTCACACTCCCCCTCAACACCCACCACCACTACCTATCCCAGCCTCTGGTAAACCACCCTCCTACTCCCCATCTCCATGGGTTCAACTGCTCCAATTTTTAGAACCCACAAATAAATAAGAACATGAGCTGTTTATCTTTCTGTGTCTGGTTTATTTCACTTAGCATAATGATCTCCAGTTCCATCCATGTTGTTGCAAATGACAGGATCTCATTCTTTTTTATGGCTGAGATCTTATATATTCCATTGTGTATAAGTACCATATATACATTTTAATCTATTCATCTGTTGATGAACACTTTGGTTGCTTTCAAATCTGGGGTATTGTGAACAGTGCTGCAACAAACATGGAAGTAAAGCTATCTCTCCAATATACTGATTTCCTTTCTTTTGTTTACATACCAGGCAGTGAGATTGCTGGATCGTACAGTAGCTCTATGTATAGTTTTTTCCTCAAAAAACTAAAACCTGGCTGGGCATGGTGGCTTACGCCTGTAATCCCAGCACTTTGGGAGGCCAAGGTGGGCAGATAGCCTGAGGTCAGGAGTTTGAGACCAGCCTGGCCAGGGTGCTGAAACGCTGTCTCTACTAAAAATATGAAAAAAAAAATTAACTAGGCATGGTGGCAGGCACCTGTAATTCCAGCCACTTGGGAAGCTGAGGCAGGAGAATCGCTTGAACCTGGGAGGCAGAGCTTACAGTGAGCCGAGATTGTGCCATTGCACTCTAGCCTGAGCAACCCAGTGAGACTCCATCTCAAACAAAACAAAACAAAACAAAACAAAAAACAAAAAAACCCCTGAAATCCTCGTACCAACAGCACACCAGGGTTCCCTTTTCTCCACATCCCTGCCAGCATTTACTGCCTGTCTTTTGGATAAAAGCCATTTTAATTGGGGTGTGATGATATCTTATCGTAATTTTGATTTGCATTTCCCTGATAATCAATGATGTTGAGCACCTTTTCATATGCCTGTTTGCCATTTGTGTGTCTTTTTTTGAGAAATGTCTAATCAAATCTTTCACCCATTTAAAAATCAGATTCGATTTTTTTCCAGTAGTTTGTGCTACTTACATATTCTAGTTATTAATCCCTTGTTAGATGGGTAGTTTGCAAAAGTTTTCTCCCATTCTGTACATTGTTTCTTCACTTTGTTGACCATTTCCTTTGCTGTACAGAAGCTTTATGAGTTGATGTGATCCCATTTGTCCATTTTTGCTTTGGCTACCTTGCTTGCGGGGTATTACTAAAGAAATCTTTGCCAAGACCAATGTCTTGAAGGGGTTCCCCAATGTTTTACTGTAGTAGTTTCATAGTTTGAGGTCTTAGATAAGTCTTTAATCCATTTTGATTTCATTTTGGTATATAGTAAGAGAGAGGGGTCTAGTTTCATTCTTCTGCATATGGCTATCTAGTTTTCCCTGCACCATTTACTGAAGAGACTCATTTCCCCAGTGTATGTTCCTGGCAGCTTTGTGAGAACACTGTAGGTGTGTGCATTTGTTTCTGGGTTCTCAATTCTGTCCCATTGGTCTCTGTGTCTGTTTTTATGCCAGTACCATGCTGTTTTGGTTAC